AGAGAGAGAGAGAGAGAGAGAGAGAGAGAGAGAGAGAGAGAGAGAGAGAGAGAGTGGCGATGGCGATGGCGAGCGGCGTAATCCACGGGACATCAGACTCTTGTGCAGGTGGATTGGAACCGACGCAGCTTGCAGGTGGTGGGGATGGCGGCGGTGGCGGCGGCGGCAGTGGCAGTGGCATCGCCTCTACTACACGTGACTGGGGCAATCTGATAGATGGCGTCCTTGTTCAGATCTTCTCTCTCCTTCCTGTCGAAGATCGTGTGCGCGCCGGTTTGGTCTGCAAGAGCTGGCTCAAGCCGTCCTGCGATCCTGGATCTTGGACGGTGTTGATTCTTGATGAGGTACTGAACATCGAGAAAGAGTACAAGTACACCCTGAGGAACACGGGTATGGTCGGGGACATGCTGAAGCGCAGCGCAGGGAATACGCTCCGGCTCTCTGTCAGATACTGCTTCTCGGAGTGCCTGCCCTTGATCGGTGACACGTGTCCTCTACTCGAGGAACTGCGATTTGCGCTCGGCGATGAGCGGGGGGACTTGCTCTTCTTGAAAAAGCTCCCGCGGCTGCGCAAGCTTGACTTCTACAAATCGACTGTGTTTTATCGCAAGAAGCCGCCCTGCACACGTCTTAGCTTTATCGAGTCCATTGTGCAGAACTGTCCCAGGCTGGTCTCTTTGGGACTAGATGGAACACAGTTCCAAGTGAACGATGCCGTTGTGCGCGTCATCGTGGAGAGGCTGCCGGCACTCGAGAGCCTTGGCATGTCGCAGTCGGCGATTACCGACGCTAGTCTCGTCCTGATCGGTAAGAAACTCCATAGCTTGACCTATCTTCGCGTCGATCGTTGCAATAGAATCACGCGTAGAGGTGTGAAGGCGCTCATAGCTTCGCGAGGGGATATCGAGATCTCGGCGCGAACTGTGGTGGCTGTAGGACGACGTAATAAGGTTTATAATGACGGTTCACCTGCGTCGGAAGACGACCAAATTGAAGATGATGAGGAAGATGAAGATGGCGGTTCACCTGCGTCGGAGGACGACACAATCGAAGATGATGAGGATGATGAGGATGATGAGGATGATGAGGATGATGATGAGGATGATGAAGATGATGAGGATGATGAAGATGATGAAGATGATGAAGATGAGGACGACCGTGCTTATGAAGATATGGCCACCTTCTATCGCTTCTTGAAATCCGTTATATAGGATGATGGGCGCAAAGTAGAGTAAGGGCACACTCACACTAGTAGGAATTTTTCTGACTTGTGAGGACGTGATTGCCGCCAGATGCATCCAAGTGCGGGTGCAAAGACGTTCAGATTCCTGCAAGTGCGGGTGCAAAGACGTTCAGATTCATGCAAGTGCGGGTGCGAAGACGGTTAGATTCATGCAAGTGCGGGTGCAAAGACGGTCAAATTCATGCAAGTGCGGCTGTCAAGACGATCAGATGCATTCAAGATAGACCCAGAGTGAGTATAGCATGATGAGCGCAAATGTACAGTAAGTAGCTCCAGATTTATGCAAGTGCGGCTGTAAAGACGATCAGATGCATTCAAGATAGCTCCAGACAGATGAAAGTAGAGTAAGGGTACACTCACTCTAGGAATTTCTGATTTAAGTAAGCACATGATTGTGGTCAGATGCATGCAAGTAGGGCTGCAAAGACGGGCAGATTCATGCAAGTATGACTGCGAAGCCTGGCAGATTCATGCAAGTATGACTGCAAAGACGGTCAGATTCATTAAAGATTGAGCCAGTGGGAGTATGTTATCCCCTAAGAGCTTGTTTGTAGAGAGCGGGTTTTCGACGGATCTGTTGATGACGAGGAGCTTGCCAGGACACACGGGCGACGATATCGACGTTTTACCACGATTCGTTTTTACTTTTTCACTTTTTCACTTTTTCACTGAAAGGGCGACGGCGTTGAGATACTGTTATTTAACTGACCAATCCTAGGTAATTCAGAAGCAGATTATTTTGTTAATCTGACTGCATCTGGATTCGAGCTAGGCTTTGTATTTCAACAGTTCATTGGTTTTCCCACTGAGCTAGGCCCGTTGTACGGTTCGTTTGGGTCCTGGGCCTGTTTTTTTTTTTTTTTTTTTTTTTTTTGACTGAATGTTCTGCTGATGGTGATACGAGCAGCACCCAGCAGAAGTTCCCATTCTGGCGACTGCATCCAGTCCAGAAGTCTTGATTAGTTATTGGTCTGCTTGGGCGTATCTAATCTATCAGAACAATTAGTAAGATGGCGTGTTTTTTTTTTTTTTTTTTTTTTTTTTTTCAATGGCGACAGCCTTTTGATATCATCAGTGAAGCTGATCGGCCCCAGGTAATTCGGTTATTCTGGGCATCTGAAGGTATCTAGACTCGACAGTTCATGGTTGTATGTTAACTGTGTTAGGGTCGTTGTTGCACTTGCTGGCTTTTGCAATAGGTTGTTCGAATTGGCTTTTTTTTTTTATAATGTTCTGCTGACGGTGATACGAGCAGCACCCAGCAGAAGCCCCCATTTTGGCCACTGCATCCAGTCCAGAAGTCGTGAGTACTTATTGGTCTGCGTATTCGTCTTCTTTTCCTGTCTCACAGTTGATGGCGTTTTTTTTTTTGTTTTTTTTTTTTTAATAAAGACCACAGCCTTTTGATATCATCAGTGAAGCTGACAGGCCTTAGGTAATTCAGTGATTCTGGGCTTCTGAAGGTAACTGGATTCGAACTTGGAGTCTATATTTCAACAGTTCATGGTTGTATATTAACTGAGCTCGGCTCGTTGGTGCACTTGATGGCTTTCGCAATAGGTTGATCGAATTGACTTTTTTTTTTTTTTTTTTAATAATTAAACCTAAGCTACATTCTTCCCTCTTTTTGACCTTTCACTATCTACCTACCACTACTCCTAAGCCTATACAGGGGATCCCTGCAAGCATAGCCACCTCTCGCAATCAAGGGGATGCGCGTCAATTTTGTTGTTGGTCTTGTTGATTCCTGATGGATTAGAGCCATCATTCGGGATGCACTAGAGCCAAAAAAAAAAAAAAGAGAAAAAGAAAGGCGATGGTAGCTGATGAATAGCTATTTCTGACATTTAAATTGATTTAATAGAGAAGGTATTTCTGACATTTAATAGAGAAGATAGACTCCGGTTCCATAGAATCCAAACAACGAACAGAAGTGCGATTTCGGGAGTTCTCCGTGACACAGGGTGTACTCACACTAGTAACGCTATCTTAAATTCATCTGACCGCATTTTCAGGCCGGATCTGTATGTATCTGGCTACAATTCCGTCCAGAAAATCTGGAAAAGGGCTACTATGAGTATTTCCACAGACGGGCTTGACTCTGGTTCCATAGAATTCAAACAACGAACAGACGTGCGATTTCGGGAGTTCGCCGTGACACAGGGCGTACTCACACTAACACCATCTTAAATGCATCTGACCGCATTTTCGGGCCGAATCTGTATGCAGAAAACCTGGAAAAAGGGCTACTATGAGTATGTCGGACACAGACGGGCTTTTTGGCGGGAGAAAGATCTTTGCAAATATGCTTTGCTGGGATCGGTTAGGTTTGTGCCACGTGTCGCGGTAGGGATCTTGCATCGCGGGTGTAGTTTGGAC